TGGAAATACAAGCTACTCAGAAGAGAGACTTTGGACTAATGCAATCATGATGAGCTTAAAAGCCCCCTCAGGGTCTGAATTTCTCCTGGCCTGGAGAAAGCGCAAACCTCTGAAGCACGGAGAGAAATGGCATGATCAGTACCAGGGGCTTGCAGAAAAACATGGAGAAAAACAAATCATAAAGTCTGGCTCATAATGAGCCTGCAGGTCCATCTCAGCGGATGGCCCTTTCTTTCCTGACGCCTCTGAGTCAAAGCACGTTTCAAATGGGAGCAGCTGGACTACCCAGGCTGATCCTTTACCTAACAATGACAACAACGAAGAATCTGCTTTCAGAGAAAAAGATTTATCCTAAGAAAAGTTGTTCTGCCTGACTCCCTAAATCATATGAATTATCCTCGGCCTCTCTGATGGAAGTAGAAAGAGTCCAGGAAAAGGAAACATATTTCTGTATCACCTGGTGTTCACTTAAAAATATAGGCATAAAACATATTTCTTCTGGAGTCTGGAGGAGAATAAACCTGAAGGCTTCTGGGAGAACTAACTGGGTTTGGACAAGCTCACGCTGTCACGAGGCATCACAATTCATGTTAACAGCCTGTGGGCTTAATGGCTGCTCTCTCCTTGTCTGGACAAAGAATGGCCACGGTGCTCGTCCTTCCAGCCTCACCATTAGCTGCTGCTGCGGACACAGAACAGACTGCCTTCCCTGCTCTCTCCTTCCTCACCGTGTTGGAAATTAAACCCAAGGCCTTGTTTGAGATAGGTTCTGAGCTGCATCCATGGGCTTCCATTTATTTACTGCAATAAAAAGCACACAATATGAAACACAAGCGTTAAGTGTTGTTAACTATATCTATGATGTTTGAAACAGATCTGGTCTATTTCCTTTTGCCCGAACTATCCTTCTCTCTTTACAAAGGAAGAAAGAAAGAGCCAGGGGGTGTGGCACACGCCTTTAATCCCAGCCCTCGTGAGGCAGAGGCAGGAGGATCTATGTGAGTTTAAGACCAGCCTGGTCTACAGAGTAAGTTCCAGGACAGGCTCCAAAGCTACACAAAGAAAATTTGTCTCAAAAACAAAGAAACAAAACAAAATAAAAGACAAAACAAAAAAAAAAGGAAGAAGGAAGGAAGGAAGGAAGAAAGACAGAAAGAAAAAGATATGTGCCTGTACATGAGCTTGCAGGTGCCCACGGGGCCAGAGATGTCAGGTCCCCAGGAGCTGGATTTACAGGTGGCTGTGAACCACCAAGAACTCAGTGCTGGGAATTGAACTCAGGTCTTCAGCAAAGAGCAGTAATCACTGTTAACTGCTGAGGCATCTCTGCAGCAACCACCCCTATTCTGATCCTCTGTTTCGACCTAACAACATCATAATCATGCGGAGCCACGTGACTTACCATGCCACACAGTGAGGAGAATGAGAGCAGATGGAGGATGTGCCCTGCCCTTCCTGCCGTGACTGACAGCCAGGCTTATGCTGGCTGCAGAAGCATGCTTGCCAGAGGCGCCTACACAGCCTCTTGCTGCTACACTGGGGGACCACAGCCCCTGCTGTTCACACCTTTAACCTGAGAATCTCCTTGTTTTATCCCCATGATTCATAAATTGGATTGTTTCAATGACATCTTAAACAACTGGCTTATTTTTTAATATTTTCTTATTATTTTGTGTTTGTCAGTGTCTGAATTCCCTGCCTGGGAGTCTATATCCCACTTGGTCCATTCTATTGGCAAAGCTTTCTATTAAGGTTTTGCTTGTTTGTTTGTCTTTTTTTGAGACAGGGGTTTAGAGAGCCTCTTACTGTTAGAGATCCGCCTGCCTCTGCCTCCTGAGTGCTGGAGTTAAAGGCGTGCACTACCATCTGACTTGTTTTGCTTTTGAGTTACTGAGTCTCTTTCATCTCTAAAATTTTAAATCTTTCAGTATTTCTATCTTTATTGATTCCTATTTCAAACCCTGAGTTTTTACTTATTTCATTGAGCCGTGTTTTAATTCATTTAGGGTCTATTTGTATACTCTTTGATTTCATTAAATATTTGTATGAGCCAGGTGTAGTAGTGCACGCCTTTAATCCTGGCACTTGGGAGGCAGAGGCATCCAGATCTCTGAGTTTGAGTTCAGCCTGATCTACAGAGAGAATTCCAGGCAACCAGAGCCATACAGAGAAACCCTGTCTTAAAAGAAAAAGAAATATATATATATATATATATATATATATATAT